TGGCCCGGCACCGCGGTGCGGTAGTGAAGGGGCGTGAGTACACAGTCAGTGCCCATCAATATGTACTTGTAGCGACGTATCGTATTGCAACTTGTTATCATTAGCCCCTCGTAGTGTTCTACTTGGACAGTGATAAATTTGAGTTTGCTGTGGGAGTGAGGATTCTCCCTACACCAAGGACTGGTGGACTTGCATTTTTTGAACAGTTGCTCAATCTTTTCAGATTCAGTGCCATCTCACGTCAGATACAGACACAGTTCATGCTGTAAGCATGGATCGAGCAATTTACTTAAGCCGGTTCACATCGGAGTACATCAGTCAGCTGTGTACATTGAATCATATTGATACTGTGCAGCTGAAAACAAAACAAGAGAGAATTGAAGCTTTGTGTACGCTCCCTCAAATGAAGGAACCAGTAGATGATCACCCCCCATTGGGTGCGGCTATGCCAGTACAGCCTGATTTGGGGCAAATTCTTGAAAAGCTAGAAGCACTACGCAGAAATGAGACAGAGTCACTGTGCCAGTCCCTTGTCAAAGCCATGACAGATGCAACCAAGACGTCAGTTGCATCCATCCGAGTGGGGCCAGAGTTACCAGACTTTCACAAATTATCGTCCGACGATGACATCACCTGCTATCTTGCAACCTTTGAGAGGATGGCGAAAGCAGCAAAAAAGCCAAAGGAGGACTGGCCGCGCCTGATTGAGCCATACCTAACAGGCAAGGCACAAAAGGCATTTTATGCCCTAAANGTAGGAGGATAAAAAGGACTTTCAGAAAATTGTCGACATCATCCTCCGTCACTACCAGTTGACCCCTGAGGCCTACCGTGTCAAATTTCGAACTGCCACAAAGGAGCCCCAGGAGACATTTGAGTAGTTTGCTACTCGACTTGAGTTGTATTTCAAGCGGTGGTTGAAACCAAGCGATGAAACCACTGCTACAGCAGATGTCAAGAGGATCTTTGAACAACTCCTCATTGATCAGTTCAGGTATAGGAGGTTGATATTGGGCGCATTATTTCGCATAGTTGGGTGTACCATGTGACCCGTACACAATACAAGCGGATGTGACACGTCGACCGCGGCTACGTGGACGGTTGATTACGCTTTTTGCCAATTAAGTCGCACGGCATTTGAATTTCGCAATCGTCATTGTGATTTAGATCAGATAGCTACATCCGTTCATGCCCTTTGACTGTTTGAGCTTTGCCCCTCGACATGTCTGCAAAATACGCGTTGATCCATTGGACATCAAGCAACAGCACGAGCATCGTGCCTGTGTCGGCTGTTTTGGATAAATCTCTGCTGCAGAACAATGCCAAAGTGGGCAAAGTGTATGCGGCCGTCATTGGCAGGAGAGAGCCAGTCGGTGGGTGGTCCAAACATGATGGAAGGGTACTCCAAATGAGTGGTAGGTCCCGTAAAATTAAACCAATTTCTTTGGTCTCCCTGTTTAAAAAATTAATCACTAACCTTAGATTAGCTAGACCAGTGAACGTGTGGCGGAGCTTAAATATACAACATACTTCAAGTACAGGCTTATAATTAGGCCTACTAGGCCTATTGTTAGTGTAAGAAATTTCCTTTTGTGAGCTGTCCGATACCGCTTACTCTATACTCTGCCGATAAGCCTAACGTTAGTGCGTTGAGCTCTAGTACAGCTGATCCTAAGGATTCAGGTTCAAGTGCTGCACAGGGCCACCATTTTTGTATTTTCAAATTACGTTAATATCTTAAGTATTTTTTAAGAGGGACAATGTAAAGTCTGAAAGTCAAAAATTCAAACGTTCAGATTTTTTTTCTTTAACGTTAGTCATTAGTGGTGGCTTGGGATAATTTTTTTTTTAAGGACAGTCCAAATTTCCACACATGCACATTGTCATTTCAATTCTGAAAGATTAGATAATGTGAAATGTGTTTTGTTATGCCTTCCGTAAGGATAACTAATGCGTTCAGTAAATACATTTGCATTCTGCTGATGTATGCAATTCAGACTTTTTCCCCCTAAAAAGCCACAAACCAGAAAAATATTGCCTAGCCCCAACGTTACACACTAAGTATTATTAAGAGTTGGGGGCAAAATTTAGAACAAAAAATGGTTTAAAAAGTGGCAAAATGGGCTTTGAATCATTGAATGTGCTTGGTGATGAGCAATGCCATCTGTATGTATACACCTGTTCCATCAGTCCATTCAGTAAACCATGATCGCAACGGCTAAATATACTTTTTTATTTGTTCCCAATAATACTTCTAAGGCCTAGGGCTATCGGCTAACTGCTCATTTTTGAAGCCAAGGTTTTGCTTTTTGAATTTCAGATTTAAGCTTAGTGTACTGCGGGCCTATGAACAGAAGTTCATTGAGTCGGGATCTGAGTCCGATGAATCGGAGGAGGGTCGAGGGCATCGCAAACCCAAGAGGAAAGCGTTTTTTGATGACGACAACGACGATGTAGACATGGTGGAGGCTGAGGATGGAGCAGCATCATCGAAGTCAAAAGGAAAATCGAAAGTGGTAAGCCTTCCGTATATTCATTAGGTGACAGTTTTAAAGTAGATACTTTTTGTTATTCTATAATTGTGCATTGATTACGAAACTAGAGACCTCAGAGCTAACTTGCTCAAGAGATATTTATGATGGTTAAAAATAATTAACTTAGGTACGTGTAGTTGTTGCGCACACACACTATTTTTCCTCAGAAAAGAAGAATATGTAACAAGCCACTGTTCTAAAGGACAATATTGATCCTTAATCTTAAACAGTTAGTGACATGTGAAACAGGTCAAATCTTGGCCATGTGTGGAAACAGGTCAAATCTTTGCCATGTGTGGAAAAAAGATAAGCATCACACTTGACACCCCGTTCACAAACCCTATGAAACTGGTCTAAAATTTTGAAGTGTGTTCTCAAAAAATGATCTAATATTTGTCTTCAACAAAAATTACTTTTTAGGCGTATCGCTCCTGGAGTTCTGAGGGCTACCATCAAAGGCAAATAAGTAAGCTTTAGGAAATTGTTACATTCTATCCTGCTCCAGGTTAAGATGTTAAGTTGGATTTGCTTCATCAAATTTAGAATTTCTTAAACATGTTCTTATCAGTAGCTTTTTTTATTCAATAAAAGGTCAAGCAAGCTAAGCAAAACCAGGCTGTGGAGATCATTGAAGAGTTGAAGAAGAAAAGGGGTGAATCAAGTGATGCGCAATCTCGTCAAGACTGCAGCAGCTGTGATGTCTTGAAGAAGAGAATGATAGAGTTGAAGAATCAGAACAAAGCTCTCAGAAGAGGTAAGAATTATAAACAGTTATTTACTAGAGCAGCCATCAAGCATTTTACAACTTGCATCCGGTAAGGTTCTTTTGACAAGAAGTTCATATTTCAAGGCAACCCAAATTTTTCATTGGTGCTGAACCTCTGAACTCCAGAATTTCACTACCAGTCCATAAATGTAACCCAAATTTTGGACTTTCATGTTTCAAGTTCGGGAACTTGTGATCAGGGAATGCAATAAGGCTCTGCACTAATGACGTCATTGTTCGTGTTTGTCCGAGCCTATCACACATTCCTGCATTCACAACCAGAAAATGGATAATTTGCAATCCCCTTGAATCCACATTCAGTTTGTTTGTCTGAGTTTAAGTGCTATGAATAGTAACTGCGCGGATCCCTTTTCATTTTTGCTTTTTGCTCAGACTCTGTGGTTTGCATCATGCCTTTCATCTTTTGGAGGTTTCAGTTATGGCATCAGTCTTGGAACAGGTTACTATCCATGCACAGTATGGAATTTTAAGATACAAGCAAGATTATTTATTTATTTGAAAGGATTACCTGGTGTAGTGGGAGAACTTCGGGAGATTGCACTCAACATGTAAACCCAGACCAAGCAAGGAGTAACCACCCCAGCCCCAGCCAACTGCAGCCCGAGTACCACCTCCAGCCGGGCCAGCACCTCGTCAAGACTCAGCTCAAGTTTTTCAGAATCTACTGAGAATGCTCAAACCTGGCCACCTCGGGATCAGCAAGGGAGCAGCTCCCCTGATTATCAATTGGTAGGCCCACTTAACTTACCATAAAGGTAGTTGATGAAAAGTCTTTGCTGTATTTTGCAACTTTGCATGGAAGATTGGGTACATTCTGTCCGGCTATTTTCCATCGTACAAACACACATCCAGGGAATATCACTTTTTATTGAACAATTGTGTGAAAAAGCCCAACTCCAAATTTGGTTTTCACCATGCCAAATTATGTGCTTTATGTGTTATATGCTGACCAAATTCTGGAGTCTGTGTTCTAGCTGCACAGGGTCTGTAGCCTACTTACAAATGACATTGAAGCCTTGTTTCGAAGCATTGGCAATAATAAAAAGCTTGAGAGGTTGACAACTCAGGCCAGAAAGCTTGCAGTTTCATTGTAGGGTAGTCTCTTTTGGAGAATGCATGGTTCAAAAAAGAACTACCTAAATATACATTTAAATCCTTTGTTGTTTTGCAGATGCCTGGACAAGGGGTTGCTCTCCCAGCCCATGTGCTGAAGCGATGCTCCCACTCAGATTATAAAAAATTAAGCCGGGACCTGATGTGTTCCCTGTTCACGCGGGAGGAAATGCAACAGTGCAGCGTGATGGGAAAAAAGGGTGTTGGGGTTCATGGCAACAGGGAATCACGACCAGCTCTTCCCCAAGACAAAGTCCAGTCAATTGTATGTAAGTATATACATGTATCCAAATAAAAATTCAGTCTGAAAACCTTTTGAATTTGTTTACAAAGCTAGCCCCACTAGCCCAGCAATCCGCAATCCTCCATCTGTTGATGGATTAGAGTGGTTGGGGTTAGTGTGACTTTGCATGTGCTGTATTCTAGCTTCAGTTACATTTCACATAATTTATTGCATGGTCCCAAAAAATAAATGAAATGTCAGTTTAGAAGTAAGATGTATACCGAGCCCTCTCACACTGTGCAGTCACACCATGAATTTGCAATGAAAGTATATTTTGACTTGAAACAATTGTGATTTTTTTCTCTCTCTCTGTTATGGCAAATGGAACAGTTTATATAAAAAAATGTACCGATTGCAGCTCAAGTGATGCCCCTCCATTTGCACTTTTACTCTATCCCACCTACATTGCACTGCCTGTATACAATGTACACGTGGTCCAAGTCTGAAGCATCTCTCATTAATTAAATGGTTTGACTGTATGTGCTTTGACCCTGAAAGGCCCACCTGAAAAAGCTGTGAACCCTTTGGTTTGCCTGTCCATTTTGCCAGACCAATCAATTCTCACACTGAAATTGGGCTGGATTAAAAGTGTGAAAATTATTGTACCTGCATCGTGTGTACATGTACTTGAGAATTTCCAAATGTAAGACAAAATTTCAATCTCAAAGTTCAGGGTATGTGCCTTGTAAATTGCGCCTTATTCATTGTTGTTTCTTTTTGTTACAGATTATGTTCACAATAAGTTCCCAGATGTAGAAAAAGCAAATATTCGCCAGGTGATGGCATACAAACTGAAAGATGTGCGCATCGCTAGTGCCAAAAGCAACTCAGGTGAAACTTCAAATTAACCCCCACGGCATTTTTGTCTCGTTACGTCACATATTTTATTCCATTTATGTTTTGTTTCTTTTCTGTTAACTTCAATTTTTTTTTTTTTTAATTTTGAAGTTTTTACCCCTTAGCGTCCCCCTCGAGACACCCATGTTCATGTATGTTATAATCATTTCATTTTTGGTTTTGGTTCAGAGTTGTTAAGAAATTATGTGATTCGGAGATACATTGCAACTGAAATTTGTGTTGTGCGGATGAGTCATTTACAGATTTCTGTTATTTGTTATCTTTGAATTATGTATTTTTAGACAGGCATTTAGAGTGTTATCATTAAATTCCATATGTATAGGGGGTAACCTTACTTTGAAAGCAATATTTCAAGTCTAACTTCATCTTGCACATGTGAAACCATAGATTATACAACCCTTTTATATTTTGTACTTTTCCCTCCCCCATGTGTAAATGTGGCAGTTTCATGCTTTGTTTACATGTGCATTTTGCTATCTGCATGTCACTGATTGCAGAACCACTTTACTCTCCTAAATTCTCATAGAAAAGGGGACATGTAAACAAGGGATGTCAACATTTGGTCTGTTTGTCTATTTTAACTTTTAACACAAATACTGGTAGGTCTACTGTCAACTTATGCCCTGTTTAAGTCTAGTCAAGAAAGATTATTAAGATGTTTCACTTAAGTGTTTAATTTTCTTTTTTTTTGGCAGCCTGGTAATGATTCAGTTTAATGCTAAACTTTGACTTTTTGAAAAAGAAATAGTAGAGATTGTGTCACTGTTACATATTCTTTGTTAGAACCTGTATATGGCCTTTATAAAGAGTTCACGAAATGTATTAACAAGGGCAGCTAGTGTTTCAAAGTATGTGCAGAATACATCGATTAAAGAATTGGAAAGGTAACTGTCCTGTTTCAAAAAATGTTAATTATTTGCTTCAAATTTAGAGAATGTATGTGGATTTCCTAATACATGTGTAAGGTGCCACTGGATTCACTGGATGTAGATACAATGCGATGGAATACATGCGTATGTACTTGTGTGAAACACCATGGGGTGAAACACCGTGTGTTGGCATGGGGTGAAACACCATGTGTCGGCATGGGTGAAACACCGTGTGTCGGCATGGGGTGAAACACCATGTGTCGGCATGGGGTGAAACACCATGTGTCGGCATGGGGTGAAACACCGTGTGTCGGCATGGGGTGAAACACCATGTTTCGGCATGGGGTGAAACACCATGTTTCGGCATGGGTGAAACACCGTGTGTCGGCATGGGGTGAAACACCATGTGTCGGCATGGGGTGAAACACCATGTGTCGGCATGGGGTGAAACACCGTGTGTCGGCATGGGGTGAAACACCATGTTTCGGCATGGGGTGAAACACCATGTTTCGGCATGGGGTGAAACACCATGTTTCGGCATGGGGTGAAACACCATGGGCCGGCATGGGGTGAGACACCATGGGTCGGCATGGCGTGAGACACCATGGGTCGGCATGGCGTGAGACACCATGGGTCGGCATGGGGTGAAACACCATGGGTCGGCATGGGGTGAAACACCATGGGTCGGCATGGGGTGAACCACCACGGGTCGGCATGGGGTGAAACACCATGGGTTGGCATGGGGTGAAATTCCTTGGGGTGAAACACCATGGGTTGGCATGGGGTGAAACACCATGGGTTGGCATGGGGTAAACAACATTTCTGCATGGGAAAATCCATGGGGACTTGAACCATGGGGTACATGGGGTCCAAATCCTCCTTGGGAACCCATGGGAAAATCCCATGGTGACATCATTGGGATTTGACATGGGAACCCCATGGGAAAATGCTATGGCGTTCCCATGGGAAAACGTCATGGGAGATTTTTGTAAGGGTATACGACTACATATACCATCATTTGAATTCTACTGTGACTATGAATTACTGACCAAGTTGTATGGCATATATGGATGTAATGGTAAGTTTAAGTAAGGAAGAGTGAAGCATTGGTAATCCACAGTATTTTATTGACTGACATCATTGAACGTACATGTACTTATTCTCAAGATTTCATCTTAATGTGCTGGTTCACTTCCTCAAATTGAGAAAATCTTTAAATACATGTATTAATTAAAAGTTTGCCTTTTTCATTTTGCCCAACTCGCCACTGCTATTTGTACTGTACAGCTAGCAAAGCACAAATGAATGAGTCTTGGTCAGAGAGAGATGCATATCCATCATGTACAATTGAATCAATTGAAGCCAACTACCATCGCTTCCTGCCAGATGGAGGAAACCAGCATCGTGCTAAGGATGTTTCTTGTTGTATTGTTCACCATCCTCTTATGCCGATTGCTATTGACCATGTAAGTTATTGGAGGTAACATTTTACAGAATGTTCAAGAGCATGTTATTTTTTTCTCTTTTGTTTAAAAACATTTAATTTTTGCTTTCATACTTGGGTCATCCTGCCAACACTGCACATTTCGCTTGGTGTCTTCAAGAAATTGTTCGATGCTTTTGAAAGTGCTTGTCACAGAGTGGACATGCAGTTATTTCAGCTTTGTGTGGCAACAGAGGACCAAGAGCAGAAGAATAATTTTGACGATCAAATCCGTAATAAAATTGAGCGGCAACAAAAAATCAAGAAAAACCTTGAGGAGAAACGATTACAGCTGATTGATGCTGAAGATGAACTACCCCTACATGTGCTTCGGACTACAAAAGAAGACATGGATGGCGCTTTCCTCGAGATAGCAAACAAGGCCTTCCGACTTCGAGATGAGATTTCAAGACTGGTAAAGAAAGAAAATCAATCTGTACCCTGAAAACGACTACCCCAAAAAGACCGTGTTTCACATTAACACGTTACATTCATATCATTCAACAGGAGAAAGAGGCTAAAACAGTGGAACTTCCATTTGCCACTGGACCAATTGCAAGAGGCTAAATCAGTGGAACTTCCATTTGCCACTGGACCAATTGCAAGAGGCTAAAACAGTGGAACTTCCATTTGCCACTGGACCTATTGCAAGAGGCTAAATCAGTGGAACTTCCATTTGCCACTGGACCAATTGCAAGAGGCTAAATCATTGGAACTTCCATTTGACACAGGACCAATTGCAAGAGGCTAAATCAGTGGAACTTCCATTTGCCACTGGACCAATTGCAAGCTCTTTGGACACCATTTTTCAGCAACATTGAGTGCAGAGACAAGCTTACCATGGGAAAGCCTTCGTTGGCAATCATGTCCACAAGTGCTACGAGGTAAAAAGTGATTATCTTAAACTTTTGATATGTATTAGCATGTTCTTTGATGCTATCAAATGCCAGCATAATGTTACTCACACGAACTGCACAGTAACAGCATGAAAAACACCATTGGCTTTGTTTCCATTGAACAGCCCCTTGCTATAAAAGCACTCACCACTGTTCCCCTTGAGGTGGCTGAGAAAAGCCTGACAGATGATATCCCCTTGGCAGCACATGACAAACTGCGATGTGAAGCTGCTCACATTAGAGTACACTTCCAGGAGCTCTTCATGAAGTTTGCCGATGTTCATAAGGGCATAAACCACAGCTCTGCAGTAACCCAACAGCAGATAAACTGCATTGGTATGTACACAAATCAAAGTTGTTTCACCAGAAAAAATGCAGAAATTCTTACCTCATAAATTTCCTGCTTTCACTATTTAGAAACATTAAACATTCCTTATTGTTTTGCAATTGATTCTGTTTACAGAGACAAGTATAAGGGACTTCACGGCAGCCTACAGACAGCTTCTCCCAGATCAAATTACTCCGAAACTTCACCTGCTGGAAGATCATGCGGTTGAGCAATTAACCAGATTCAAAGTGGGGTTTGGGTTACTAAATGAACAAGGGGGGGGGGAACTGATACATACAGAATTCAACCGTACCGGGAGGGTTGTACAAGGGATGAGGGGAGAACTGCAGAAGCTCATGGCCATTATGCGCCGCCATCATGTTGCTACAACTCCTGAAGTTGGAAGGAACCTTCCAATACCTGAAAACACAATAAGAAAGCAATAAACTGCACTGAAACGTGAAACGAGTCGACAACCACATTTCTTAAAGTCGTGCCAAACCTTGTCATAGTTAACTTTATTCACATGTTATACATGTAATTGGACTGAATTCACAGTACTGTACTTCCGTTTGGTTGATTGATTGCACACTTTACATGCAGTATCGCATGTACTATGTGCTATATGTATGCATGTGCAAGTACACTGTGCATGCAGTGTTCAGGCGATAATGTCATCCAATCAGCCTGGGAGTGCGAACGGCCAAAAGGAGATTTTCTGTGGGTTGGGAAACGCAGGATCTTTTTATTCATTTTGCAGTCTGTAGAGGATATTCTAGCGATTAAGTTTACAAAGTTGCAAAGTGGTACATAGAGGGTTTCCCAACATATTTCTTTAATTCTACTGAAATTATTTTTCAACAACTCGTGACGTTCTATGAAAACACAACTGAGATCATCTTCCAAGACAGATATCTGCACAGGAATTAAATGTCACGGATGTCAGGAAGTGTACTTCTATATAAGGCCTACTACAGGAATTGCATAAACATGACCAAATAATCGACTGTAATCTCGAATGAAAGTCACACGGGCCTGACTCGACAAAAAGGCCAATTTGAATTAAACTGGTGTTGAAAACGAATAAAACGGAAAGACAAACGTCTTTAGCAACGATGCTTTTGACTGATTAACTCATAAAAAGACGTCAACCTTTGGTGTGACCTTTTCACCTTTGTAGAACACCGCCTTCCTGGCTACCGCATACTCTACGTGTTTTGTCCACACACGTGTTACTGTAGTATAGAATCAACTGCTTTGTGGTACAACAGTTGAATCTGGCAATCCCATTTTGGAGGGCATTCCCACTCACTTGAATGAAATGTCTCATGTCGTTGCAGCACTACAATGTCTGTGAAGGAGTAGATAAGTTTTCAGCCCTTGTAGAATCAAAGCACGGGATACATGGGGAAATACCAGTCACGGTCACAGGCAACGATGTTGTGCAGTTTCATCCCTTCAAAACAGTACGGCACAAACACTGTGCCCTCTTGATCCCCACATCGACCACAAGGTGTCAAGTTTGTAAAAGACACAGAAGTGACCTTGCTTCTTTGGACAAACGACTTTCTGCAAAAAGTTCTGGGTCAGAAGTCAGCACCAAGTCCTCAACAAGGAACGATTTGTTGAGCCAGAAAGACCTAATCAAGAAGGTGAATCTGCTGAGCTCAGAAAAAAATCAGCTGAAAAGAAGAATTTCCATGATGGCGTCCAAGATAGAGGATATGGTGATGGAAGAAGGAACAGTTCTCCCTCCAGACCAAGAGGATAAATTGCAGATCTCTATCAAGAAAAATTACAATGTCCTAAAGACGCTTCTGGATGAAAACTCTCCAGGTTTTCTTCTGTGGGAGCAGCAGAAGAAAAGTGCAAGTAGAGGGAAGGGCATGAGATGGCACCCAGCCATAATTTGCTGGTGTATCGCACTTCATCATAAATCATCATCTGCATACAACCTCATCAGGGACAGTGGTTTTTCTACAGCTTCCGAGTACCCTACACCCATATTCCCATTTTGGTAACCCTCGCACAGGTGTTAATGCAGACATGTTAACCAGACTAATTAGGGACATCAACATCAAATCTCTCCCCGGGTATGAACTCAATGTTTCAGTGGCATTTGATGAGATGAAAGTGAAGACCGATCTAGTATACAATACCCGATCCGGAAGAATTGTTGGTTTCATGGATGTGGGAGGTATTGCCAATGCAATCACTTCTTTTGAGAGGAAATGCCAAGGCGAGGTTGATCCCCCTCTTGCGACGCATGTTCTCGTCCTAATGGTACGTGGCATCTTCAACTCGCTACATTCTCCAATTGCATTCTATGCCACTTGTGGAGTGTCCAGTTACCAGCTGTTAGCACTGATGGATGAAGCAATCATGTGTCAGATGGTGCGTCACCCAACAGAAAGTTTTATCGATTGTTTGGCGAGATGCAAGTAGATGGGACAGCATACTTTGGTCCCAGTCCAGGCCACTCAACAAGGAAGGTGTATATGATTTGCGACGTACCACACCTGCTGAAGACAACCAGAAACAACTGGGAAAATTCAGGATGGAATAACAAGACAAGGAACTTGCATGTATGTAATTTTTTTTTTTCACTTGATTGTGGTGGGGTATTCTGAAAGAAACTGTGCATCTTACAAGAATTTT